GCATAGGATGTCTTTATTGGGTGTCTGAAATTGACTGAACAGATGAGGTTACTTTGACAGACATTTCTGCTACAAGTGTTCTGTAGAACATCTCATATCTACCAAACTAGGCACAACTCAAACGTATCTTTAAACCTTCCTTAAGTCCGACTGGAATCTGGCCGAAGAAAGCTTTTGCCTGGAAGTTTTTGCCTGGGAGCATTTGCCTGGAACGGCCTACCTGCCACAGTTAGAGTGGCCACGTCTTACCTGTCGTTTAAGAAGGTTCTGAAACAACACTGCTGACCTCTGACCTCCTGACCTTGTCCTGGCTTAACGACTTTGATTTATGATTAACGATTTTGTTTTGACGTTTGGTTGTTTTGTAACTTTATGTATTGTTTAATGTGTTGGTTTCATTGTTTTCATGTGTAACATGTTGTCACAGGGCATTCCTGAAAAGCAGTGTTTTTAAATAGCACTGAGGTCTCTACCCTGTTTAAATAAAACAGAAATAATAATAAAATGATAATAAGAATTGATGAACCGGCAACAGATAGCAAATGACGCCCAACTTTAGACTGGTGCCCAAGGCTCACGCTTGTGTTCAAACATTACAAGGAGCTTCGAACAAGAAGGGCCAAGAAGCTCCTTTGTACAAATCATCCTTTTGCACTGTGCCATATCAAAGGAGATATAAATACGTTCATCATACATATTCATATGGTGGAGTAAGAGGTAATACTACAAAGGAAGGCAGTGGCTGAATGGCGCACAGAAGGTAAAGCCATTACAAATTCTGCGTCATGATCCAGATGTTTTCTGGGATCCCCTGGCCTAGCCTGGAGTTACAACTTAGCCGTGCAGTTGTTTGTGATATAGTCTGTGTATAGTGTGTGCACATTTTATAACTTTTAACAGAAAAGTTTTCGTATTTTTCACTTTAGAAGTAATAAAATCAGTGCATGTAATGCAGGGCGTGTATGGGCTTAATTTCCACTTACCTTTATAGATTTATAAGATCTTGTAGTTGGCGAATGCCCTCCTTTGATAGGTATCACCAGATGTAAGGGTATATCGTGTTTCCTTGTAGTGTTTATTGTATCAAAGCTCGCCTTGCTTCCACAGCTGCGCCGGAAGCTTCCATTAGCACTTGAAGAGCTGTAGAGGTTTTCTGTCGACCTCACGCTGTGGTTTAGCAGTAGTTCAAAACAGAAAAACGCGCTGGAAAAAAGCATTTGGAATATATTTGTAAAATACGTTTTACTCGACCCATATTCGCCTATACAGTATAGCAAATCTTACACACCAAAGAACGCTCTCCTGTTGTTATTCTCTTTGTGTTATCCCCAATACTAGTAGTACTAGACTATTTGCTTTAAAATTCCTTGGCCTTCAATAATGTGCACGGCCGTTGTCTCCTAACAAGCATTAGTTTGTTAGTCAGAAGCGCGCTGAACCTTGTATTTCTGGGCAGCAAGAACAGTCCATAATTGGAAGTTTTTACCGAACGGCAGTCTGAATGTCGATTTTATTTTCTTGTGAACAGATATAGTTTGAAAATAAACACGAACACTTGCTGATGTTCGACCAAGTAGGCTTCTGTTCGGCTGCGCCAGCTGAATGTTTCAAAGTGTTGAAAACATCCGAATATGGACGAGTGGTTCGGCAATAGTTGGCAGGTGGTTGGCTGGTGTTTGGGAGTAGTTCGGGGCGTGGTAGGCAGTCAAATTTAACTCTGATTCTATTCGTATATAAAAATAATGATGACCTACATCTAATTAGACTAATTCCGAACTTTTGTCTACCTTGTTTGATGTTCGAGGACAATGGGAAAAGGCGTGACAGAGGCCGTGTTCATGTAAAGTCAGTGAAGGCGCTTTACATGTGATTTACCCCGAAGCCGGTTTCAAGTGGCTCCATCTGAACGCTCCAAATCACATTGAAAGCGCCTCGATCCCAAACCACTTCTAGAGGTGGTTTCGAATCGGTTTCCCGCATCGCGATTTTCGTCTGAACGCCGTGTGATTTCAATGTGACTTCACTTGGTCATGGATTACGGGGTGATATTTCTTTATTTATATGCAATACCAACTTTTACGTGGCAGCAACTTAAAGAGCAATAATGGGAGCAATAATGGTCAAATAATGTGTCCGTTCTAGGGCGAGCTTCACCGCCTCTGGCGGGACTACGTCGGCATTCGGCCGAGATACGCTGGGAGGGGCACATCAAACAATAATATATGTATCTCAGGCGAATTGTGATCTGACACGGTTTCAAAGGAATGTGTGGCACGTGGACCAGATGTGAGGAATGCGAGTTACCCGAATCGCGGTTTGGGTGACTTCACATGAACAAGGCTTTAGGCTTCTCTCTCTTCCACAGTTTTCTGCATCTGCAGTCGTGAAAACGTCCATTAGCTATATATCACATGGCACGGTGATCAAATCTGGGCTGCAAAGTTCCCACATTTCATAGAATCCGAACTGTGTTCGATCGTGTTCGATCTGAGCAATTAGTATAAAAAATATAAAAATCGAGGATCTGGGGTAATGTACGTAGCCAAGTACGTAGCCAAACCGACGTTTGCCTAAAAACGTGACATGGCCCGAAAATAATCGTCTTTCTGAGCGAAATTTTTAAAAATCAGTGATTTAACATAAAAAGCTAAGTAAACATTTAAAGGATGTTAAGACGATAATTTCATTTTAATTTGACGAAATTTACCACTTAATATTATTTGTTTATTTTCAAATATTTTACGGGTAGTCCAAAACAGGCCAAAATAGCGTCTTGTAACCCGATACTTTTTAGAACGCGCCTAGCAATGGGAAAGAATGCCGTAGTGACAGACCGCCGTGTGGGCTTGACATGCGTTAATTAGTTCACGCACGTAATGCCTGTTTGGTGGTTAAATATACAGGGCATATGCCGTCGCATCATAGGCTCCTCTGATGTACACCTAAGTAGGCTTAGCCGACGGACATACAAACAAGCCGATTAAACATGCCAGCCATTACAAGCTGACAACATACTTAACATGCAGTGATCCTATTCCATATTACTGTCGATCTGTTCTATTAAAGGGGTTATAACAGGCATATTGGGAGGAATGAATTATGACTAAGGCAGAGCGAGTTGCCCTGTTTTGTGTTGCAGATTCCCTAATCCGTACGTCCCAGTCACACATTCAGGACCTTCCTCCAAACAGCAGACCACCAAAGCGGGCTTCAGTTCCTGAGCAGTCCGACCAGGTTTAGGCCATGTCCACCTTTCTATACGAATGGAATTGAATTTAAGTTAAATTTGTGTCAAAATTTGACTGCCAATCTCGCCCTGACTCACTACCAAACACCAAGGGTATTCTTAAAAAATTCTAACAATTGCTGGGAAATAGAGATTTTCGTGTGAAGTGAAATCCTAATATCATCAAAAAGCAACAACGCATCTGAGGAGGCTTTTAAGGTATATTCTGCCATTAAATGAGGGCACCACGAGAAAGGTTTACGTAACATATACCTCCAGATTTTACGTCTCCTCTTGGGCTGTTCAGCCCGCTTCCATATTCATTTGTTTATTTATTATTTGCACGTATAAAAAAGTTACATAATCAAACAATAACAATAAGAGAATATGCGGGGTAACCTATGTGTTTTTTTTAAAGGGCCTACCCCAAACAAAGGTAACTATGATACATGACAAAACATATTTGAATTGAACATTAAGATTAAACAATGAAATAATTGATTAACTAAACAAAATCAAGACACAGAAATAATAACTGAAGTGTGTAAACTAGTTTTTACATCTACGAAAAGAAATTAAACAAAAGTCTTATAAGTCATATGTCCTAAGAGGCTCTCAGCACATCTAATGCTCGATTAATATCTCCGGTAGTAATAAGTGTTTTGATAGAACTGAATATTTATCCCAATTATTTAGCACCGTAATCTATTTTAATGTAAAAAAACGTGCTAAGTATATACACAATCACCTTTTTGTAAAAAAAAATGGGATAACACCCCTGCCATCCAATTTTTTTACTGATAAGCCTTAACAACATTCTTGATTGTGTATATACCTTTTAGTAAAAAAAAAAATGGGATGACAGAGGTGTTATCCCATTTTTTTTACTAAAAGGTGATTGTGTTATATTCTTATTAGTAAAAATTGGGATAGCATGCTTTTTAACAAATATCCCATGTCAATGTAACTAGCGCGTTTTTAGAATAAAAAAATATGGTGCTAAAAATAGGGATAAATAACCACTGCTGTTTTGATGATGGCCTTTGACTCACTATGAGTGGTGATCCACAGCTCTTCTATTTGCCAACAAGATGACGCTATATTTATCTGGTTGTATGAATAGTTGGGCACCCAAACCTGATGCGAGCGTTTAATGCAAAACAGGTTGAGCAAGAAAAGTTGCATTTATCCAAGTGGTCAGGAAGGTTGAACAAATGACTGAACAACACAGAACATAGTACATCAGGCAATACATATTTTTTGCTTCTTCTGTCACACTGGAAGTCTTGGATGTTCAAGCAATTTGAGCACTGATTCCCTTCTTTTGGCATCTTCTTATTTTCCTTCCTATCTTGGTCATCTTTCGAGTACCTCAAGAAACAATATGGCTGCAAACCCTTGCGGATACTGACAAAAATTAATGCGGATGTCATCCATGTATAATGACGTCCTCATGGCCTGATTACAGTGGATGGTAGTGATCTGAGTTGGTCTTGGGCGAAACGACAACATTAGGCCACACCGACTTAATTTTATGGATGACATCCACACGCGCATTGATTTTCGCCTGTCC